AGCCGACCTGGTTTCAGTCCTTGGCACCACGTGTGGTCCCCTGAGCCTCGTCAGGGGCATGAACGCAGCCAGATGTGACCCAAAATTAAAAATACATATATGATATTTCGGGTTCTACCCCAAACGTGGACTGGAGCGATAGCACAGCAGTAGGGCGTTTGCCTCGTGCGCGGCCGGCCTGGCTGAGCCAGGTTCGATTCTTCCGTCCCTCTCAGAGAGCCCGGCAAGCTACTGAGAGTATCTCATCTGCATGGCAAAGCCTGGCAAGCTCCCTGTGACGTATTCGATATGCCAGACACAGTAACAACAAGTCTCACAATGGAGACATTCCGGGCCTGCTCGAGCAAATCGATGAACAATGGGAGGACCGTGTGACAGTGCTGCCCCAAACTGTACTGAATCAAAACCTGCAGTTAAGATACTGGAGATACATACATATTAATGAGAAGCACTTTTTTTTTTTTAAGTTTTTGGGCCAGTGCAATTCTTAAGGGTTTCTCCTGACCCCACACCCGGGAATCACTCCTGGCAGTGCCCAAGGGACCACGTGGGATGCCGGGGCTGAAGCTGGGTTGACTGTAAGGCGAGTGCCTTACCCAGTGTACATTGTACTCTCTCCGCCCCAGAGAAGCAGTGCTTTCATTTCTTAACTAAAAATGCATATAATTATTTACATAACTTCTTGTTGTTTCTAGGTTTTATTTGTGCTTTTTAAGATTCTGGTTTGTATTGTGCCACACCCTTTGTTGCTCCGAGCTTATTCCTAGCTCTGCACTCAGGGATCACTTTTGGCAGGCTTGGGGGACTCTATGGGGTGCCAGGGATTGAACCGGGCTTGCCGTGTGCAAAGCCTACTACTCTACCCACTGCTGCTCCAGCCCTCATTTATTACATTTTTATGAATTAAAGTAGCATGCAAACTTAAGTCAGTCACTTCCAAGAAGAAAAAATGTGAAGTGTTATGTCACATTTAACACAGAAAATCTGTCACAGTAAGTCATTAAAATGGAGCACATCCATAATATCACATGTGTTTTGCTACGTGGCCCAGTAAGAAACACCGCTTTAGACTTTGAAAATGGCCTGAGTAAGAACTGAAGGTAGGGGTTTGTGCTGTGCGCGGCCAACCTGGGTTCCATCCCCAGCCCCCCACGGTCACCCGAACGTACCAGGAGTAAGCCCTGAGGACTGCTGGTGTGGTCCCCAGAAACCCCAGCCAACCAAACAACCAAGTACCTGACGGTGTGTTTTATTCTGATGGACTTCTTTCCAAATATCACTGAGGTTCAGACTTTACAGAACTGGCAAGTTAGAAGGGAGATTCTCGGAGCGTGTGCGCTGGAGAGCCGGCTCTTGCCCTGTGATGGGGTTTCATCTCTGACACCCCAGATAGTCCTCTGAGCACTGCCAGGGGTGATCCCCGAGCACAGAGTCAGAAGTGAGGAAAGAAAGAAGCAAGGAATGACCTGCAGATGGACGGACAGACACTGCTTTCTAGGAAGTCTCTAGTTCGGGCTCTCTTGAATGATCTGGAACCCAGAACATGTTTCTCTGTGCCTTGTGTCAGCCTGTCGCCTTCGTCAGTCCCAAAAGCTGTGTAGGGGGCCAGGGTTCCGTCATGGGCCCCGGAACACAGGGGAGCCTGAGGCTGGGACCCTTCATGGAGGCCGAGGATGTGGGGGGGGGGGGGGCGTGCCCTGGTTGTGAGTGCCCTGGCCCTTCGGTGGTGAAGATGTGGACTGTTGCCGGTTGGATTTCTTGACCTGTTTGACTTACCTGGGGGCTGGGGAGAGAGAGGGCTGGAGCATGTCTTCACACCCACAGGGGCCTGGAGTTTGATCCCTACCACCCTGTCCCGGCCCAGGTGATGCGGCAGGGGAGTGGCCGGGGGAGGAGGGAGACGAAGTGTGAGCCTGGACTCTACCCCCATCACTCCAGGCGGCCACAAGGAAAGCAAGAAAGGCGCCTGTCCTACCTCTGGATCCCTCCGCACAGATCCCTCGGGCGTTTGGTGTGTTCTTTCAGAGAAGGTTTGCTTCGGGAGGTGGGGGGGCCCGCATTTCTGGACATTTCCCTCCCCTCCTAAGTTGCAAATTACTGCTGAGGCATTGGGGGGTGGTACTTCACATTCACTTGGAGGTTGGGCCACCGGAGGCCGTTGAGGTTTGTCTGTCTCAGTTTGCCTATATATTTAAAGTGATTAGCTTGGTTGTTTGCTTAAAATTGTTAATAAAACGTGCTCTTAAAGCTAATTAGTGTGGTTTATGAAAATATGAGCATTGCTGTTAAAACGTTTAAAATTATATGAAGCAAATAATGAAAATAGGTGACCATTTAATGGTGTATAGCCTTGCAAAAATTGAAATTTCAAAATAAATATTTTAGTGTGTAAAATCCACCATACCCACAAAGACAAACAGTACATAAGATTATTTGCGTTGGTTACTCAATAGCTGATACACATTTGAGAGGGTTTTTTGTGTTTGTTTGTTCTTGTTCTTTTTTCTTTTGGTCACTCCCAGCAATGCTCAGGGGTCACTCCTGGTTCTGCACTCAGGAATTATTCCTGGTGGTGCTTGGGGGACTATATGGGGTGCTGGAAATTGGACCTAGATTGGCCGGCTGTGCTATTGCTCTGGCCCTCATTTGAGACTTTTATACAGTCACAAAATTTTAGAATAAGATCTCAAGAGTAAAGATTTAGAGTAGCATTCACTGGTTAATTAACAGATGGATCAAACGTTTTGAATATTTTCAATCTGTGTTCGGGCCACACCCAGCAGTGTTTTGGGGGAGATTTCTGATTCCATGCTTAGAAGTGATGAATGTATAGGGGAGATTCTGGAGTCCGTGCCAGGCTGGAGAAGTGACCCCAGGGATTGAGCTGGGTAGGAACTTGGCCCCCACACGGTCGACCCCTGACTTGTTTTTAGGAGCTACTGGTCTGTAGCATCGTAGAGGTTTTCGGCATATAGTTTATGCTCTTAGAGTCTCTACCATTTGATTCGTTAAAGGAAACTCTGAGGCACTGACATCAAGCATTTTATTTTACACTTCTTTTGGCTGTCTGTCAGAAAGTGGGTGTGTTTGATGTTCGTTACGAATCACTGTCAAGCTTAAATGAGTGTTTTAATTTAATTTAATAAAGCTTAAGTGTCAGTGTTCCATATGAGTAAGCGTGGTCTAGTGGTCCTTTTGAAAGCGTGTACTGAAAGTTGTGATTGAAGCATCTTCCATAGGTGGGTGATTCAGAGCAGGTCACTTTCACAGCCCAGTGCTTAATTATTGAATTTATATTTAGATTCTCTTTCCTGCATCTTTGAAAATCACCACAGTGAAACTCGGAACTAGGGCCTCATACCTCTTCTTTTCTTAGGCCTCACCCAGCAATGCTCAGGGGTCACTCCTGGCATTTCTGGGAGACAATCTGGGGTGCTGGGGATTGAACTCCGGCTGGCTGTGTGCAAGGCAGGTGCCCTGCCCACTGTAATAGCATGCTGCCCCCGAGGGCAACGTCCTCTTGAGTTACTTATTGGTACTTAAAGTGCAAACAGATATATAGGCATTGAAATGTTCCCTATGTAAACGGTTGTTACGGTTGACCTTTATGTGATACTTTCATTCTGGCAGAAGATTTTGAAGAAAAGGGAAGTAAAGTGAATTACTATATTAAGAAAAGGGGGGGTGGGTGGGCAGTGTGTAGAATAATAGTGTAGTGGGGTAGTGCGCTTACCCAGGTTCAATCCTTCGCACTCACCATGGTGCCGTGAGCCCACCAGGAGAGATCCTTGAGTACAGAGCCAGAAATAACTCTAGGTATGACCCAGAAATGGAAAAAAAATTAAAAAAAAAGAAGTTGGGAGGAGTGGGAGCTGTCACTCAGTAGACCACTTTATAGTGTTCTGGGTTCAGTCCCTGTTCTCCAAAATAAAAGCTGGGAGGCACAAGTAGGTTCTACTTTACATTTTGACTTGAGAACATCCAGTTCCTCAGGTTTTAGTAAATAATGGAGATACTTGTATGCATTGCTTTGTTTAGTAAGCAGAAACTGGTGGAGATCGGCATTGTCTTTTTTTTTTTAAGTTAAGAGTTGAGGTAGTAGATTTGATATGACTATTACTGCCACTACTACTACTACTGTTGGTTTTGGGGCCACACCTGATGGTATGTGGAGCTTATTCCTCTTTCGGGTCTGCGCTCAGGAATCTCTCCTGCTCAGGGCACTGCAGAGGCACCGAGAGGGGGCCGGGTTGGCTAAGTACAGGGCAAGCGCCCAGGCACTCTACCCACTGCACTATCTGGCCCGGGGGGGGGGGGCAGTATTTAAAAATAATTAACACTTGTCGAAGAAATAAGTGTGTTTCTTAAAAAAAAAAAAATTGAGGCCCAAGGAAGGTCCTTTGTGCTTGGTAAAATCAGGAAACAGTGCACTGAAGTCTCTGCCCGGTCCGCCTAGGGGGAGCAGCCCACCAGACTCGTCCGGGTTCGGTGAGACCGAAGCGGGAGGAGCCATCACAGCAGTTGGACCTTTAGATTAGGCCAGAGAAGAAACCGATTGCAGGTCCACGGGGATTTCCAGGAGTAAGGTCTTTTGATAGTGAATTATTTATAGTTGGATCCTATTGCTCTACTACTGTTCTTTTTGGACAATGGAAGGGATGAAACGTGATGAAAGAGTGTGTGTGGTTTCTCTGTAAGGCCTGGCAGGAAATAGTTGAGTATGGGGACACTCCTGTCTGCCAAGAGTTGCTTAAATCACCCCGTATCTGGTTTTGAGGTACCGTGATTCCACCCCCCACTCCCTCCACCCCCCATTTGTACTCGATGATCAACCGAAATATTTCAAAGCAGTGTATTTTTTGAGTTTTAAAAATTAAATGGAGACTGGGTCATATGCTTTCTATGAAGTAGAATGTCAAAGTGGTAATCGTAAATATTGATAAGATCGTGTTCGTATTAGTGAATTTCTAGGAATAACAGCCTTTTTTCTTCTTTTGTAGCATAAGCAGTACTATAATGGATGTAGACAGCACAATTTCCAGTGGGCGCTCAACTCCAGCAATGATGAACGGACAAGGAAGCACTACTTCTTCAAGCAAAAATATTGCCTATAATTGTTGTTGGGACCAGTGCCAGGCTTGCTTCACCTCTAGCCCAGATCTGGCAGATCACATCCGTTCCATACATGTAGATGGTCAGCGAGGAGGGGTTGGTTTTGTCATTTCTTTTTTCCATTCCTGTTCATTAGTTTTACTAATTTGCAATTGTCAGTTAGACTTTGCTCAGAGTAACGTGGGATTGTTTTCATATAGTTGTCCCCCCCCCACCCCCCCACCAAATGTCCCCCTCACCCCCTATTTCCCACATACTTGATGGGACCAGATTAAGTATGTAAAAGTTACTTGTTGCCTTTTATTTTCATCATTTTAATTGTGAAGAGATTCGGCTTGTTAAATGTAGTAAGCATATCATAAATGAATGCCGTCGGTTTCCGGGTTCTCAGGTTGTGTTTGGAGGCTGTCTAGGGGTTGGTTCTGTCTCGGAGTTCACCTGGCAGAGGAGCTCCAGATTAGTGCTCCTCCCGCTCTCCTTTCCTTATGGGACCCTTTCCTCATTGTCAGGGCTGCCTCTTGTAAGCCAGCACTTCATTGAGGTCACAGGTTGTCCTTTGAACCTTGCTTGCTGAGAAACTCGATATAAGGCAAAAAAAAAGCCCTTCTATCAGGCAAGCACCTGGGTCAGCCGCTCTGGAGATCACTGTGCCCTTCTTTTAGTCGATAGGGGAGATTCCACATTTCCGTTATGGGTCCTGTAGCCCCATGAGAACATTGTTCGCACCTCAGATTTGTAGAAGAAAAGCAGTGGCAGAAAAAGTGTCACGTAGTCAGTGTAACTCTAGGAACCTTGGTTATTGGTCACTTGGTGTACTTGTGTAAGTATAGATTCCTTGGCATTACCTGTCTCCTTCGTGCCATTTCCTGATTGCAGTTCTCTGGCTAATTTTCAGGATGTTCTTGTTTTGATCACAGATGAGTTCTAATCTTGGGTTTGCTATTCATTTCCCAAACGAGATGGAGCTGCTTAGAGCAGTCACATTTCCAGTCCCACCGTCTCCAGATAACGCTGGTCTCTGGCAGTTGTAAGACCCATTTTTCTTCTTCTCTCCTTGTTTTTAATTCCTCACTTTAGAAATAGTTGCTAGAGAGAAAATAGTTCATGTTCTTGATAATAGAGTTATTTTAAGTTCTTTCACTTAAAAAACTTAGGTTTTTGGTATCCTTGAGGGCAGTGGGCCAGAGAGATTTGGGGGGCAGTGGGGTAGTAGAGCGGTTTGACCGAGGCTGATTACCTTGATCTCATCTCCTCCCTAAGCCAGGATCTGTGGCTGATGCTTGGAAGGGTAGGGCCAGGAGCTTGCTCCGGATTTTAGTAGCTCATTTGGTAGTTCCTGAATATAGCATGAAATTGGTCATGTCGTTTGCAACAAAGGGAGCATACATTTTTTTCTTGTAGTTTGAGTATCAACTGTTTTTAGGAGGAAAAAAGAAATCTTAAATTTTTAAAAATTAACACAAAATTATTTAATTGATTTATTTTGGCCTTTGGACTGTACTTGACATTGCTCAGTGCTTACTCCTGGCTCAGTGCTCAGGAATCACTCCTGGCTGTTGGGGGGATACTGTGGGAGGCCCTGGGATTGAACCCGGGTTGGCTGCATGTAAGACAAATGCTTGCCTGCTGTGCCACCTCTTTGGCCCTGGAGTGGTCAGCTTAGGTATACATTAAAAAGAAAACTGATTTGAGACAAGAACTAGGAAAGTATTTTGCTTCTCCTTTTATGTTCACACTTTGTAAATGGAAGAGTTGATTGATTCTCCACCCACCCCTCCACCCCCATCTCCCACCCCCTTGAAATATTTAGCGCTTAATGCAGCCATGAAATCAGTCAACCTCTTTCTGGCTTTTTAATATAAAATCTTTTTTTATGGTACTTTATCACAAAAGGAATCTTACGCCTTATTAAAACTAGACTTTATAAGATGTGATGGGCATGTAAATTACACTGCTTATCAGCTCTTGAGTTAAAAATATATTTGACTGATTTTAATTTACTTTGCTAGCAACTGGGTTTTCCTTCTGCACTTGTTAGTCAGGTTTATTTTCCTTCGTGGTGAATTTTAAAAGTTGTGGGGAGTTTTAATGGTTATTTGCACACTTGAGGTGTGAAATGTTAGGCAAGTGAGGATGTATTTAAATGATCAAACAGCATGCTTTCAGATAAATACCCTGACATATTTGTTCAAGGAAGTGAACCAAATTGAAGGAGAATTAAGTACCCCCGGTTAACATTTTTTCGCCAGTCTTTATTTTGGGACTTTGGAGGAGATCCTGAAGGTGAGGTGCAGCTGACAGGAAGCTGCTCTTGACAACTAGACGCCCCATTAACAGTGAGCGTCCACGTTTTAAAAATTAGATTTAGACTTCACCTCTCACCTCCATTCCTCTTTAAGTGACTGTATGAAAGTTTCTGGTTTTATTTCCCCTCCTTGGGCATCTAATGACCAGTTAACCCAATTCTATTTCTTCATTTATTTATTTATTTATTTTTGGGGTTTTTTTTTGGGGTCACACCCGGCAGTGCACAAGGGTTCCTCCTGGCTCTGCACTCAGGAATTACTCCTGGCGTTGCTTGGGACCATATGGGATGTTGGGAATCGAACCCGGGTTGGCTGTGTGCAAGGCAAATGCCCTATTCTCTGTGCTGTCGCTCCAGCCCCTCTTCTTTAGTTTTGTCATGTTGTGTGTGTGTGTATGTGGTCCGCGTTTTCCCCGTGAAGCAATCTGGAGTTCCCTTGCTCTGCTGTGTAGTTTGGGTTTGTTTCGGGGCCAGGTCTAGTGATTCTTGGCCTTACTCCTGGCTCTGCACTCGCCCCTCGCTTGGCTTGGGACCATTTGGGGTGCTGGGGACTGAATCCGTGTTGGCCAGGGGCAAGGCAAGTGCCTGACCTGCTGCAGTATCCTTCCAGCTCCTGATTTTGTTGTTTTAGGCCCCCACCCCGCAATGCTCAGGTCACTCCTGGTTCTGCACCCAGGAATGACACAGTCCTGGTGATGCTGTGACGTGCCGGGGATCTAACCCAGGCCTGCTGCGTGCAAGGCGAACTCCCTCCCATACCCATTGTAGTAGCGCTGTAGCCCCTCCAGCCCTTTTTTCTAATAGTGAAAGAAAATTCATAGACATCTAGGATTGGAGGCCTTTAAGTGGGGGATTCATTTTGACCAGAAGAATTTTCGAACGTCATTCGGATTTTCAGTTTTTCCTGTTGAGAGTTCCTGGTGTCTTCTTTTTTTTTTTAACCTCCTGAGTACCACTTTTGGGGGTGGGGGGAGGAGTGGGGGATGTTCTTTAGTGCTCAAGAGGCCTGGGTGGGTGCTCCCCTAGGAGTGCTTTGCTGATTGGGCCAGGGCTCATTGTGAGACTCTGGGAACGGGGTTGACCCAGTCACCTGTGTGCCTGCCGCTTGCTTTAATCCCTGCATCATCTCCTGAATTCATCAGCGCCTCTCAGCTCCTCCGCCCACTTCCTCTACTCTGGCTCTGACCTTTTTGGCCAGACTGGGGTTTTACCCTGAAGGGCTCCGTGTTCCTGGCCTAGAAGGTTATATACAGAGAAAGGAAGTTGGGGGCATCAAAAAGAACCAACACCTTCTCAAGGTTACAAATTCTCGCGGAAACCGGCATGACTTTCTGGTTTCTGTAAACCAGCCATCTCTAAGTAATTTCCAGGGGGCCCCAATGATAGGACCGCAGGCGCTTGCCTGCAGCTGACCCCGATCCAGTCTCCGGCATCCCATGTGGTCCCTGAGTGCAGGGCCAGCAGTGAGCGCTGAGATAGCCAGGTGCGGGCCCCCAAATAAAAAATGAAAAATTCCAGGAAGTGGCAAACCTTTCTTTCCCCTCCCTGCTGCTCCCTCCCCTCTCCCATATTTTGGACCACACCCAGTTGCTTTGGCATATTCCTGGGCCGGGCTCAGGGTGATGCTGCTGTGTACGCTGTACTATCGCTCCTGCCCAAATGAGGGTGTTCCCCCCCCCCCCCCCCCGTGGGGAACAGAGACCCGCCCCCCCCCCCCCCCCCCCCCCCGCTTTCAGGGATGCTCGCTGCTGTCCTAGCAAACAGCTCATTGCCCTTCAGCTGTTTGCTCTGGGTTTCCGCAGTGGTCGATTGTAAACGAGTATTGCTGTAGGAGCCTCGGAGGAGGCAGCCGGGTGAGGTCCCGGTGTTCTGCTCTCAGGCTCCCTTAGCTCCCCGTTCGACGGGCATCATCTTACACTTTCGAAGAAGTGTTCCAGTGAAGAGGAAAGGCATAGATGGAAGAGGAAAGGCAGAAGAAGGATTCTTCCAAGAGGCCATAGGTGCAAAGCGTGGGAGCGCTGGCTGAGTTGGTTCTGTTTGGCTCACGCGGTGGTGCTCAGAGCCCTTTGCTGTTTCTGTACTCGGGGATCTTTCCCATTGGACTCGGGGCCTCGTGGGGGCTGGGAACCGAGCCCGGCTTACCCGAGTGCACGGCAAGCGCCTGCCCGCAGTACTTTTCTGACACCGCTCCCTCCCCGACCCTGTGTTTTGGGGGGCAGGTCACCCAGTGGTATGGTGGGGGGCTGCTCTAGGCTCCGGGCCCATTCTCTGTCGGGATCACGTGTGTGCAGGGCACGCGTGCTGGGCCCTGGCCCGTCTCGCTGGCTGCTGGCTCTTGGTTCCTTTTAACATAGCATAGGAGAACCGCCACATACTGGGCTTGTGTTTGGTGGCGCTGGGGACCCGGCCCAGACTTGGTTGGTATCTAAGGCTGTCCACGCTGCCATCGAGACCTAGCCCTGGCTTGCCCTGGCGCCATTCCCTTCTTCATTTGTCCAAATTTGGGTTGAATTCTTACGTTTCAGGATTAGTTTTTTTTGCTGTTGATTTGTTTTTGTGTTTGGGCCAAACCTGGCGATGCTCAGGGGCTACCCCGGGCTCTGCACCTGGCAGTTCCTCCTGGTGGTGCTTGGGCACAGCAAGGGATGCCGGGATTGGAACCCGTGTGGGCCACTTCCGGGCGGGTGCCTTACCTGCTGGGCTCTCGCATGCTTCCCTCCCTCTCCCTTTCTGTCCCTCTCTCCCTCTTTCCCTCTCTTTCTCTCCCTCCCCCTCTCTCCCTTCCCTTCCCTCTCTCTCCTTCCCCCTCTCCCTCATCAGGGTTAATTTTTTCCAAGAAAAAGTTTTCTTAATATGGTAATCTTTTTTCTTTTACATTGTGCATCTAAAGGGTCTCGTGTTTGAAGGAAAATCCTCTTAGATTTGTACTGATAACAAGAGTCTACTTAATAGAAATGAGGTTATGTCGCTGGTTTTGCTTGTTTTGTTTTTTTTGTGGTTGCTAGCATAGTGAAATCAAACCTGCACTCCAGCCCTTGGAGCCATTTTCCTGGCCCTGGAAATTCTGGGTTTAGATGGTTTCCTGGAGCCTTTATGTGGATTTTCACTGCTTGTTTTTTCAGATCAGAACTACCCTGGGGCAAGAACTTGTACTCACTCCCCACTCCCAGAATTGTTTTCAGGTATTTCAGGAACAGCCTTGAACATGGCTTCAGTCTCTTTACACTTACTTCATTTCCTGTGTGGTTCATTAGGTTGAAGGGTAGATCTAGTTATTCTTTGAGCGGAAGGTGTTGCCATAGTGATGTTACTAGACATTATTCCATCTTGAGCGTAGACCCTCGTTTCTTAAACTGGGGATTATGCCACACCCCCCCTCCTGTGATGTAATGTTTTAAAGTTTGTTTCAAAATAGATTTCGTGAGTTGTTATTGGTAGGTGTTTGATTTGTAGATCTAATTTACACATTAGTATGCTTTATAGTACTAGTACATTAGTATCCATATATTTTATACATTATAAGAATAAGTGTTCGATTTTATTCTTTCTCATATTGGTAGATGTTTGATTTGTAGGCCTGTTTATATCACCAGGGTCATGTAAAAATATGTTTTGGGAAGAAAAGGGTAGTGGGTAGGAAGATTTTCAGAAGCCCCGACCCCAACTAGCTCCTCACTAATTCACTCTGTCCCTGCCTCGAGTCCTTAGAGGGAAAGGGAGTTTCTCCTGGATTTGGGGAAGGGACGGTTGGCGGGACAGCGGGAGCATTTATGGGACTCTCCTGTGCATTCGGCCCCGAGGTCCCTCCCCTCCCAAGTGTAGTCAGCCTGGGTCGTGTTCAGAGGGCGAGTGCCCGTATGCTGGAGGCGTGGGTGCCGTCTGAGCATCGCCAGGCCTTGAGCTGGGATGTGCCCCCCGACATTTAGGTTTGGTCTAAGGACCCCCACCCCCAAGTCAGCAGGATTTACCAAGTATTTGCTACAGATGCTAATTTGTTTTATAAGATGTTTCAGCTTATGTGGGTCTGAATGACGTAATTCATGTTACTACTTGACATTTTCATAGTGAAAGTCTGTTCCTCTTGAGTTAGGAATTGATAGTTTGCTGGTGATTATCAGTGAAGTTACATAGTGAAAGTTGCTGTAAATACCTGCAGCCTGGTGTCCCCCGGCCCCTCTTTTCCCCTGGACTCATGCAAGAGCTAGCTTTCCTGGGCTGGGGGGAGGGCTCAGAGGACTCGAGCGTTTGCGCTTTGTACTTGGAGGTCAGGGTGCATCCCAGGGTCTGCCGGGAGCAGCCCGAGTACAGCCGGGTGTGGTGGGAAAAGCACCAAGAGCAGAAAAGTAGGTTTTCTGGGAATTTCAGGAATAGTTTTATATACACGTACCAGGAACAGGAATTTCACATATGAAGGAAATGTTAGAACTTCTGCATCTGCTTAACTAAAAGAAATTAAATGAGCTGTGGAATATAGTGGTAACTTTCTGTATAGTTTCACGCCATTTTCTGTCTCGTGTGTGGCCTTCTTGCCTCTCTGACCTCTCTGATTTAAAATGGTTCTGGTTTGGAGCTGGAGGGAGGGATAGTACAGTGGGTAAGGTGCTTGCTTTGCTCGTGGCCAACCTGGGTTCGATCTCCGGCATCCCACATGCTCCCTCCCCCTGAGTGCAGAGCGGGGAGGAGGCTCTGAGCTTGGCCAGGTGTGGCCCCCAACCAAAAACATAGTTTTGCTTTTGAGTAAAAGCCAGACAGTTCTTTTAGACGGCTAGTTATTTTGACCCCATCAAACTTTTATTTTACATCTGATGTGGGTGCTTGGATCTTTGTTTAGTTTCCAAAGTGTGATTGATTATTCTCACCTTAGCAATACAGCAAGGCAGGTGATTGCGGTCGAGCCGGCTGGCAGTGTGCGGGGAGCAGTTGTTAGTGTTTCATGGAATGTAATCCAATAGGAAACCGGAGTCTCATTAATAGGAAGGGGCAAAGATGTGATTGTTGGCTCTAGTCGGTACTTCTCATCCCGGCCGTAAGCTGTAGCCTCCACTCAAAGATGCGGAGCTGTCGGGACGGACGAACGAGTTGTTTTTGCTTGCTGCTTTCGTATCTCTTGTAACTTAACATCTCCTATTAACATTTTGCTTCATAATCGAGATAATTGGATAGCGATTTTTAATGAATGAAACGCTGTATTAGTATGCCTGTGAGAATAGGAAATCAAAAATTGTAATTTGGTAATTTAATTGCTTTACCTATTCTTTGATGATAAGTGATCAGTGCTAATTAGTGTTAGATCCTTTATTAGTGGAGGGACGGTGCGGTGCTCCAGGGGCTCCCCAGGGCCACTGCTGGCACGGCTGCTCGGGCACGAGCCTCGGCAGGCCGGGCGGTGCCCCAGGGCCTTGGGGCATCGCTCCGGCCCCGCGCCGGACTTCCCTGACTGTGTTTCATTGTGTCCTCCTACAGTTAGAGCTTCTTGGGTTCTTGGAATTAATGCACGCTTGTTTCCTTGTGCAGTGGCTAGAGAGTGTAGACAAAGGCCCACAGTCCCGGTTCTTGGGAAATACAGTCAGTATTGTGGGGCTCCTTCTGAATGGTGCTCTGTGCGGGGTCCTTAGTCCTTAGTCCGGGCGCTCCATGCTAGCACCCGGGGGAGGGCGTGGCCCGGGTGCGTCTCCCAGGGGAGTTCGGGTGCTTCCGCGGAGGGAGTCTTTTCTGTCCGGTCATAGGTGTAAAGGGCTTTTGTGAAAGTCTAGAACTGTGTTCTTAGGAGACTTTGTGGCTAAGTGATGAAATTGTTGTGACTCTTCTTTCCACAGGTGTTTGTTTGCTTATGGAAAGGTTGCAAAGTCTATAACACTCCGTCGACCAGTCAGAGTTGGTTACAGAGGCACATGCTGACGCACAGTGGAGACAAGCCTTTCAAGGTAAGGCCGTGACCGTCAGCCCAGGCCCCCCGGTTCCAGGCCTTCCCCTTTGTTCCTCGGCCACTCACGGTTCTTTGCTCAGACATCGCTCCTGGGGGACCGCGTTGTGCCAGGGATCGGCCTGGTCTTCCTCGGGAGGGGTGTGGGGGGGGCCCCCAGGCTGCTGTGGTAGGGCCCGGCTCCTGCGTTTCGGTGGCTCTGCTCACTGCAGCCTCTGAGCCTCCCTGCGTTTGCCCTCCAAAGTCGCTTTAGCTCCGGGCTGGGGCCGCGAGGCTGCAGGCGGGCCCTAGGCCTCGGGACTCCCTCCCCACAGCCCCTAGTACTGGTGGGGGGACCTCTCCCCTCCCCTCCCCTCCCCTCCCCCTCTTTTCCCTCCCTTACCTCTCCCTCTCCCTCCCTCCCTGCCCCTCCTATCCCGTTTCTCTCTCTCCTCTTTCTCTCTCTATATTTATTAACACGGTTAACAAAAAATAAATGATTTACATTGAGAAAATGTGCTCCCTTTCTTGTTTCCGTATACCCTTTCTCCCAAATATGTAAAGCACCATCTCTTCGGCAGATTCTTCGAGTGTTTCTTTGTGAGACTAAGCAGATAAATATGGAAGGCTTATTACCCTTTGTTCTGTAAAATTTTGAAGTACATGCTGCCGATACTTGCCTTTTTCAAATGAACTTTTCCTATCAGAGCCACTTTAGACTTGAATTATCACAGGTCATGTTTCCATTTGCTTCGCACTGTTTTCCATTCTTTCACATCTTAAGCGCAGATGTCCCTCCGCAAGGATGTTACACTGGAGTCTCTCCTCACGGGCTCGTCGGGAGTAGCGTCTTTCTGACACGTTTCTTTCCCCCGCAGCTCCCTTGGCTGAGATTGCCTGGGGTTGCACACACGCACACCCACAGGGCTGTGGCACACATGCACACACACAGGGCTGTCGCTCACATACACCTACACACACAGGGCTGGGGTGTACGTGCCCACACATACATATATACACACACACACACAGCAGTGGCTGGGCTGCTCAGCGAGTGGTGCCGGGCTTGGGGCCTGGGGCCACCTCCAGCATGTGCCCCACCCCCGCAGCTCCTCCTTCCGTGTGTTCTTGCTCTGCCTGTGAAGTCGGGCCTTTCCCTCGCATGGTTGGCTGTTTTCCTACATCTCTCTTTCAGTGCTGGGTCTCCGGGACCTCTGGGCGGGTAGTTGCTGTAGTGCCGGCAGCTCAGTCTCGGTCACGGTTCGTTCTTTGTGATTTAGCTCATCGCGAGACACACAGTTGCAAAGTTGATCGCCACTGAGTTTCAGTCTTACAGTGTGCTGTCCCTTCAGTGCATGTTCCCGCCACCAGTGTCTCCAGTGTCCCTCTTGCCCCACCTGCTCCCTCCTTTCTCCCCCCCCCCTTCCTTTCAGGTGCTGTGGTTGTAGTCCTCTTTCCGATGGGCTCTCATATCAGTTTATTCCTGTCAGCACTGAGTTCTTGTCCAGAATGAACATTGCAACTGTCATTGTCACCGTGGTCCTTTTCTTTTGCTAACTTCGCCCGTCCCACCTCCACCCACTTGTGTGGCAGCTTCCTACCGCCGGCTGCTCCTCCTGGCCCCTAGTTCTGCTGTCTTTGAGGGTCAATTTTCATACTTTTTTTTTTTAATGTCCTGCAAATGAGTGTCACCATCTCATCCCTCCCCCTCTGACTCATTTCACTCAGCTGGTGGCCTCTGCGTCCTGTGGGGTCAACACACTACACGTTCACGTGGCGAGCCTTCGGCACCTGTAGCCACCCTGGAGCATTGCCGTTGGGAGTGCCCTCCTTCCCCCGTGGCCGGGACGGGGCGTGCCAGGAAAGTCTCAGAGGTGCCTGTGCAGTCTGAGCCTCACCTGGCCGCTCATTGTCGTGCAGCCGTTTCTGTGTCTCTCAGGCACAGTCACACTGCTTCTTGGTTCTTGTGCACGTTGATTTTTGAGCCCGTGCAAGTGGACTTCCCCCCCTAAATCCTCCCGAGGAGTACGGATGACTTCTGTGGGGAAGGGAAAGAGGGAAGTAGTGAAGTGTTGTTCAGGAGGTCATAGAAATCTCTAAAATTGTGCGTGTGTGTGTGTGTGTGTGTGTGTGTCTGTCTGTCTGTCTATCACGGAGAGATGCTGTGGAATGGGCCGTGTGCTGGCCTGTGCTCGCCAGGCGATGTTTCAGCCCCTTGCTCCTCTTCCTGGATAAGGAAACTGGTTTCAAAATTCGTGGTCTGGGGCGGGGCGTTTTGGAGTAGGCGTGTTGAGACAGGCGCCCCCGCTGGCCCCTCCGCTCGCGGGCAGTGCAGGTGGAAGATCTGCTTAATGGAATGTGCTAGTCACCTGCGAAGCGTTCTCTGAAAATGAGAGAAGAGGTGAGTTTGGAAGGCTCCCTGAGTGTAGAGGTGACCGAGTTCTCAGCGAAGCGGCCTCCCCTCACCGGCTCGCCGAGGTGGCTTTTCTGGCGTCCTTCGTGGCCTTGGGCCACGTCATTGTCCCTGTGGTCCTGTTCCCCTCCCCTGTCTCCTCTGCCACTTCCCATCACGCCGGGTGATGCTTTCCTGCCGTCCTGGCGTGCCTGTGTGACTCCTGTGCGGTTTTTCACTCAGTGAGGTTGTGTGAGATGGTCTCAGTTCCCTTAACACCCAGCCCTCTGGGTGGCTGTGTGGTGGGCATTGGGTAGGTCCGGTGTGGGTGTGAGTCGGCGGCCCTGTGTGCGCTGTTGGCGGTGTGTCTCCGTGCCTGTGGCCATCTGCCTGGGAGTGAACTGCCAAGTGACAGACCAGGCCACAATGTAGCAACTACCAGGTGTATATGGACAGGCGTGTCCGTTGTCCTGGGCACTAGTGTGTCCCTGTCCTTCTGGGGGATGCACAGAGGTACACGCTGTGATTGGATCTTGATTCTCCTGGTGAGGAATGAGGCTCCCCGAATGTCCGACTTTGGGTGCCTCTCTGTTCCCGCCTTCCAGTGGTTTGTCTTTGATTCTTCTTCTGTAAGTTTTAGAACATTTTTTCTGTCAGATGCACGTATTTTCAATCCCTTCTTTCAGTCTGTGCCTGGCTGGCCTTGCGATCTTTCTCTAGGCTCTCTGGAAGAGGCCTTTCATGCCCTGAGCCCAGTGTCCGGCTTTGGGAGGCAGGACTGCCGTGCCGGCCATCGCGCCCAGGCCCTTCCACGCGGGAGACCTCTCCTCAGCTGCGGACGCTGGGGCTCGTTTCCTGTTGCAGAAAGCTTCGCCTTCCCTCCCTACGTGAAAGTGAGGGCGGTTCTCACAGAGGCGCGAGGCCTTTGCTCTGAGGTGGTGGCCGTTGACACACCTATGCGTACGTGTCGTGATTTACATGCCACGGGGAGCTATTCATAGTTGCCGGTACTTTCACAGACTTGTGCAACCACTGAAACTCCAGAGAGCCAGGGCTGCTCGGGGAGAAGCCGAGGGGGCGCTTGAAGGGACAGGCGGGCACTGGGCCGCGTCTCCCTCGCTGCTTTCACTCGAGTGCCTGGAGGCTATTCTGTTCTGGGTGTTGCTCTTCTAGATGAGGAAACGCAGGGACGTGGTAAGTAGGGCCTGCGTTCCCCCCCTTCCTCTCCCTCCCTCTCTCTCACCTCCTCTCCTCTTTCCTCACCCCTCTCTCTCCTCTCCTCTCTCCCTCTCCCATCCCTCCCTTCCCTCCCCCTGCTTTTGACCCCTGTCTGCCAGTGCTCAGGGGTTCCTGCTCTGCTCTGAGGACTCCCTGGCAGTGCTTGGGGTTCAGCCTGGCTTGGTTTCATGCAAGGCCAGTGCCCTCCCCGCTGTCCTCAGTCTCTAGCTCAGAGTAAATAGTGCCGAGGCCCCAGGCATTCTGGTGGCTGGAAGCTTCTGTCAGTGCTTTAGCAAGCGAATGCTAGGAATTTGAGATTTGCTTTTTCTGTTTGACTTTTTTTTTTTTTTTTTTTTTTTTGCTTTTTGGGTCACACCCAGCAATGCCCAGGGGTTACTCCTGGCAGTGCTTGAAGGACCATATGGGATGCCGGGGATCGAACCTGGGTCGGCTGTGTGCAAGGCAAATGCCCTACTTGCTGTACTATTGCTCCGGCCCCTCTGTTTGGCTTTTTACAGTATTTTAAACTTCTCCCCATAGTGATTTTTCTTATTTAAAAAATCATTTGTACTTAATTCATAGTTAGATGGTTACTGTGAAATAATACCTGTTCAAAACATGTTGATAAATTTTATTTTGGGGCCATACCCAGTGATGCTCACCTGTTATTACTGGTGGTGCTTAGGGGACCATATGGGTGCCAGGAATTAAACCTGGGTCAGCCGGATACAAGGCAAATGCCCCACGTGCTGTACTATTCACCAGCTCCATAAATTTTTAAAATAAAGTTCTTTGTGGAGTTCCACACCCAGTAGTGCTCAATGGCCATCCCCAGCTCAGTAATCTGGGGTCACTCCTGGCAGTACGTGTTGTGGGGCTCATCTGGCTCCTGCAGATTGAGAAGTGCACCAGCTCTTTAATTCGTTTCTCTGTTTGCACGATGTGACCTCTGCACTGAGAAATGGTAGTTTATTCTTCGGGCGAAGCTTGGGTAAGGAAAAGGGATGTAGACAGGGAAGCCAGGAGATCAGCTCCTCCCCTGCACTCTAGGTCCTGGGAAGGTCACACTTAAAGTCACAAGGAAGTTCTGTGACTCTTGGGTCACACCCAGTGGTGCTCAGGGCTCACTCCTGGTGGGGCTCGGGGGACACTATGGGGTGTGGGAATTGAGCCCTGTTCAGCCACGTGCAAGGCAAGTGTCCTGTCCTCTGTATAATCTCTCCAGTCTCAAAGCTTTTTCCCGATTTCCAGTACTTTGTAAGAGCAATGTTTTTTTACTATTAGTAAAGTTGATACTGAAAAGCTTCACCGCGAAGATGGTATTAGTATACTCTGTGGTACAGCAGTGCTTGCTATATTTTAATATCTTTGACTTTTTAATGTGCACATTAAAGGAATAAAATTATTTTGCCACTTACAACTTGTTCTTGTTAAATTTTGGGCCACACTTGGCTGAGCTCAAGGCTTACTCCAGACTCAGTTCAGAGACCACTGCTGGCAGTGCTTGGGGGACTGGATAGGGTGTCAGGGATCAAAAACACAGTCGTCTATGTGCAGAGCAAGCAGCCTACCCTGCTGGGCTATTTCCAGCCCTGACTCGGGCTTCTTACTGTCACTAAGAAAATCAAATGATTTTGCCACTCAGCCTACTCATTCTAGTTCCGTATTGGACATCATTTCGTATTAACAGACATTCTAGTGATTGTTGGTATCGTTGGATTGATAGCGTGCCATATTTTATTTAGCTAGTCTTTTTGCTTGGCTTCTGTTTGTGGTGCCTGGGATTGAACTCACATATGCAGAGCACACGCTGTGTCTCCAAGCTGCTGCGTGGGCCCAGCCTGTCCTTTCTTCATGGCTCACGGAATCATGCCGAGTTCTCCAAAATGAATCAAGTTCTCTATAAATTACCTTTGTTAACTTCTAGAGGTAGAGGGTTTTTATTTATTTAGCACTGTAGCACTGTCCTCCCGTTGTTCATCGACTTGCTCGAGTGGGCCCAGTAACGTCTTCATTGTGAGACTTGTTACTGTGTTTGGCATATTGACTACGCCACGGGGAGCTTACGGGGCTTTGCTGTGCGAGCAAGATACTCTCAGTAGCTTGCCGGGCTCTCTGAGAGGGGCGGCGGTATCAAATCCCAGTCGGCCACGTGCACGGCAAACACCCTACCCACTGTGCTATCGATAGCTCTGCCATTTATTTGTTTATTTATTTATTTTAAATTTAAAGGTGGGCCAGAGCGATAGCACAGTGAGTAGGGCGTTTGCCTTGCACGCGGCCGACACGGATTTGATTCCTCCACCCTTCTCAGAGAGCCCGGCAAGCTACTGAGAGTATCTTGCTCGCACGGCAAAGCCTGGCAAGCTCCCTGTGGCGTATTCGATATGCCAAAAATAGTAACAAGTCTCACAGTGGAGACATTACTGGTGCCCGCTTGAGAAAATCGATGAACAGTGGGAGGACAGTGCGGCACAGTGCAGTGCAGGAGTACTGCTATTTATTCAGTCATTGGTTAAGCTGATTGACTTGTGCATGAACTCCACATTACTTTTTTTAAAAAAAATTTTTTTTAATTAAGTACCCATGAGATAGACCATTACAAAGCTGTTCATAACTGGGTTTCAGTCATACAATGATCCCGCACCCATTCCTTTACCTGTGTACGTTTCCTACCACAAATGCCCCGTTTCCCTACCACCATCCTCCAACACCCAACACCCCACGCCCCACCCCCAGCCTTTCTTTATGGGGGGCACTTTTCTTAAGAGGCATTTTTGGTTTTGGTTGAGGATCCAATTAAAAATGGTTGCGTTTAATCTTCATATCCTTTACTCTTTACCGTAACTTCATAATACTGATACTTTTGAAGTATGTAAACATTTTACTTAGTACTATGTCCCTTCTTTTTGTTTTTGTATTCCATAATGATTGGGGAAGGTGAAACAAAATTCTTACCGTGCATTCTAGGGAGTGTTTGTAGATTTGTTCCATCAAAGATGAGGCCAGCCTTTATCCTGGTGAGGTTTTTCAGGTAACTGTGAACTTAGTACTTGTCCCCTTACAATTAATGTTTGGTGAGATTCTTTGGACTTCCACAAATAAATTGTTGCTCATTAGAATGAGGTTTACTGTGTGTTGAAGATTCATGCCCAAATCATTTATTGGTATGAACGTCACAAAATGAGCGCTTTTTTTTTGCCTTTCCATCCTAATTTATTAGTTGGCATTATACTTTTTCAGTGGGGAATGGTTGGATCACATCTTGCTGTGCTTGGGGGCTGTATTTGGGACTTGCTTCTGACTCTCGGCTCAGGGATCACTTCTGGCAGGCTCGGGGTGCTGGGGATGGAACCCAAGTCTGCCACATGCAACTTAGAATTCATGTAGTTGAACTCTGCAGATACCCTCAGCAGTGTTACCATATTCCAGCGCACGTCTCCCTCTCTAGTATTTCCTGTTGTACCTGTTGATTCCCTTCCGGAGGTCTCACTTCCTGCAGTTTTGATACCTGTCGTCAGCAATGGTCCTGACGTTCCGTAAAGCAGTTCCAGAGAGTTGACCCATTCACATTAGTGTAATGTTACCATGTTCAGTTATTCTTAACTTTTTATTATGCCTGTTTTATAAACTTAAACTCTCAGGCTACACATCTGGGAAAAAACAACATATAACGGGCTTGGTACTGTTTGCAGTTGTAGGCCTCCCATGTGGTCTTGGGAGTGTTCAGAATAGAAGGACTGACTGTAGATAGTCATTAATCTTGATTAATTCATGACCTTTTTCGTGGCAGCTAGTTTTCTCTGACTGAGCCTGATGGACTTTTCACAATAACATCATTGGAATAACTTCCACTGTGATAGTTTTTGAAGAACTCAGACTTTTAACTCGGATTTATGAAATATCCCATCTTTGAAGGAATTAAAAAATTTAGAACCTAGCTAAGTGGCTGGCAAAAATTAATTTTACCAAATCTGGTGTTCTGTTGTTTTTGGGTTCTGGGTCACATCTGGTCGTGTTCAAGGCTTCCTCCCAGCTCTGTGCTCTGAGTTTATTCCTGGAGGTCTCGGGCCCGCATGGGGTGCTGGGGCCAGTGGACAGCCAGCGCCTTCCCTCCGTCCCTCTAAATCAGGATCTGTGGCCCACACGTCCTTCTGTCCTAGGTTGCTTCTTACTTGTGCATGCTGGCAAACGATGCTCATTTGTTCCAGGCCAGAGAAGTGATCGCGTATTCATTCATTATCTTGCATCATTCTCTGTAGTGGGTGATGAAACGGTTTCTATCTTTGGTTCCTTAGAGGCCTCTGCAGTCCTGGGCTTTACTGTTACTTTAATTTTTTTTTTAACCTTTACCCCAGCATTAATGAGGTCTAATAGACAGTTGTAAGGCATTTCGATAGGACATTGTGGTAGTAGGATGGTATCAGTATTGTGAAAAGATTCCATCTCTCTAGTCCAGTGCCTTTCAACTCGGTACATCACGGACTGTCATTTGGAAAACCATGAGTCTGATTGGTGACTGTGTTTGGGGAGGGGGTTTGTAATTCTGTGTTTATAATTCTGGGGAGAGGATGATGAGATGTTGCTCTTCAGCGCTGTTGGTCCTTAATGCAGACTTTAAACTCCCTCTATAAATGGCCTTTCATTCTTCATTGCCATTTGTATCTTTCTGTTTGGAACCATCTTCCCTAACCTGGGAAGATTTGGACCATGCGCAGCCCTGCTCGGGGTTAGTCCTGCTTCTGCACTCAGGAATTACTCCTGTCAGGGTTCGTGGGACCATCTTGGATGCACGATCTAACCCTTTTCGCCTGCTGTACGATTCTCTGGCCTATTTTCCTGAGCTCAGGCTTACTCTTGGTTCTCTACTCTGGGATCGCTCCTGGCAGGCTCAGGGACTTTGTGGGGGCTGGACATTGAACTGTTGGTCAGCTATGTGCAAGGCAAAGAACTTGACCAGCTCTGCTGTCTCTCTGGCCCTAGGCTGTTTGGTTGTTGTTTGTTTCTTATTTTTTGTTTTTGAATCACCTCCAGTGGTATTTGCGGGGTTGGACCACTCATGGCTTGGTGCTCAGGGAGATTTTGAACCTGGGTTCCCTGAGTTGTCAGGCAATTCCCACTTGGGCAAAGATGGATTAGTTTTGGTTTTGCTTTTGGGCCATACTGGCAATGCTTAGGGGTTACTCCTGGTGGTACTTGGGGGACCTTAAGGGATGCTGGGCGTATAACCAAGGTCAGACACGTGCAAGATAAACGCCTACCCCCTGTACTGTCACTGTATAAACGCCCCTGTATATGTGCATGTGCACATGTGAATACATATGCAGTTTTTTTTGAGCCATACTCCAATGCTAGGGAAAACTCCTGGCTCTGCACTCAGGAATCACTCCTGGCGGTCGACAGGGATCCTATGGGATGCTGGGGGTCGAATCTGGGCTGGCTGCGTTCCAGGCAAACGCTCTACCTGCTGTACTGTCCCTACGGCCAGCGGAATAAAAAGATACGCACCAGTGTTCTCAACCTTTTCTTTTTTTTTAAGGGGTCCACTGAATTTGACAATCAGAGTGGGACTCTTTGATTTTGTGTCTGGGCCACACCCCGCAGCGACCCTGGCTCTGTTATCTGTGCTTGGGGGAACCTGGATTGGCCGTGCTCAAAGCAAGTGCGCTACCCACCGTGCTCCCTCTTGTCCTGACTACCTTTGTCCTTTCCTCCTTCCTTCCTGTTTGTCACCTCCACTCTCCTGCTGGGCCTCCCCCTCTGCCCGGGGGCCGGGGGGCGGGGAGACTGCCCTGCTGCCTCTGTTGCACATAGAGGCTTGGGGCTGTTTCCTGCGCTCCCCCCACCTCTCCTCCAGGCCCACCCCCCAGTGCTTGTGTCCCGGCCACCCGTCCTCCCGCTCGCTCACCGCGCCCCTCACTGCTCTCGTCCCCTGCAGTGTGTCGTCGGCGGCTGCAACGCCAGCTTCGCGTCTCAGGGAGGGCTCGCCCGCCACGTGCCCACACACTTCAGTCAGCAGAACTCCTCGAAAGTCTCCAGCCAGCCCAAGGCCAAAGAAGAGTCTCCGTCTAAAGCTGGGATGAACAAACGGAGGAAATTGAAGAACAAACGGCGACGCTCGTTGCGTAAGTGCCCCCCCTCCCCGCGAGTCCGTGCGTCAGAGGGTTTTGGTTACACCTGGCGTGGTCCCGAAAGGCCAAGTGACGGGTTCACCCAGAGAAGTGCAGGGGCTGCGCCCGTGCCCAGGTGAGGGTGTTCAGCTCTGTCCCTGCCCACCTGGTGATCCGAGCAGGACAGTTCAGGGTTCTCTGTTCGCCAAGTGGCCCCAGAATACAAACTGTATGGAATTAGATAGGATGCCTCGGTCAGCGAAGGAGCTTTAGAATAAGTCTGGCCTTCCTCGCAATACTTTGCAACGTTGGAACATGTTTCAGGTATGAATCAGGTACAAGTTAGTGACCTGTCTGCTCCGAAGTTGGTGGCACTAAACACCAGGCGCCAATGTCTGCTCAGTACCGGATTAGGAGGCAGGTGCGCGTTAGGATGAAGGCTCGCTGGGGGCAGTCGCTGGCCTGGGCGAGAGGGGAGGCAGGAGAGAATGATGCTGGCACCCACGGAGTGCCCTGCCAGGCGGCGAGAAAGGCGAAACACTTCCTCGGACCTTCCTGGGAATTTTCTTGGAGGGTCGGAGAGCCTGCGGACACCAGCCCGCAGAATGAAGCCTGCGTCTCAGGCACGGAGGCTCCCGTCAACGCAGAGCTATGGTAGACCCAGGAGCAAATGGAAAATCCTTTACCCTCCTGGTTCTTCTTGTTTTTGTTTTGGGGCCACACCTGACAGATGGCTCCTGGCACTGCACTCGGTTACTCCTGGCAGTGCTCGGGGGGCCTCCTGGGATGCCGGCATCTAGCCTAGTGGACGTGTGCAAGGCGAGCACCCTGCCTGCTGCGCTGTGGCCCCGGCCCCACCCTTGATTCTGTTGAAGTAAACACGTTTGTGTATTTGGGGGATGGTGGAGGGGGGACCCCTGGCTGTGCTCAGGGGCTGACTCCTGGTTCTGCACCCGGGGCTAGCGGTGCTGGGGGACCATACCAGGCGCGGGGGTTGAACCCGGGTTGGATGTGGGCAGGACAGGCACCCTGCCCCTCTGCTACAGCTCCAGCCCGTTTCTTCTTTTGTTCTTCGGGCCACACGTGGCTGTGCTCAGGGCTTACTCCTGACTCTGTGCTCAGGGGTCACTCCTGGCGGGGCTTGGGGGACCCTGTGGGGTGGCCGGCTGCTTCCGGAAACTGCCCTCCCTGCGGTCACATTGCTCCAGCCCAAGCATTGTCCTTTTCAGTAACTGAAACTGAACAGCAGCGTTGGTGGCGTGAAAATTAAAACGAGAGAAATTTTTTACAGAATTCAATCTGGTGGGGCGCTCCTCCTGCTTAGGGGCCCTGCGGGGCGCAGGGTGCAGCTGAATGGATTGTGTGCGCCAAAGACTCAGCCACACGAACTGCTCTGTCATCTGCACCAGACGCGTCGGCCCTTTGGTCTGGGGCTCCTCCAGCCTCCCTCTCTCGAAGCAGGAAGCACGCTACGTGCTGACTAAGCATGTGGCCCAAACTGGGAGCCTGGGGGGTGTTCTGTTGCTGTTCTTTTGGGGCCACCCGCCAGTACTCAGGGCTTACTCCTGACGCAGCACTCGGAGGATTCTGGGGAGCTTGGGGTACTGACCCGGGGGTGCTGGGGACCGAGGCAAGGCCCTGCCCAGTGTACTGTCTTTCTGGCCCCACCTCAAGGAAGTGTGCTGGACTCATTGATGTTCAACGTGTTTCGATAACATTGTTGTAAACCACAATGCCTGAAAAGATGAAAAATAGACGGGAATAAGGAAAAAGCAAGGAAGTGCGTGCCATGGAGGCAGACTGGGGGCAGGGGAGGAAAACTAGGGACTCTAGTGGAGGCAAGTGGACACTGGCGAAGGGGTTGGAGATGCCTCCCCGGCTGGTGGAGATGCGGGGCTTAGAGGGGCTGAGGGCAGGAGAGGCCGTCTCTGGGAATTGAGGTGCCTGCCTGAACGCACACCCAAGGGGCAGAGCTGCCCAGGCCCACCGAGTAGGTGTAATTTTGTACTTGCACCTCGCTTGCTTGTTGCAGTTCTCTGGCTACTGCACACCGTGTGAAACGGGCTGTTGACGTTCTCCTCTTTTGTCTCCTAGCACGGCCGCATGATTTCTTCGATGCACAGACACTGGATGCCATAAGACACCGAGCCATATGCTTTAACCTCTCAGCTCACATAGAAAGTTTAGGGAAGGGGCACAGTGTGGTTTTTCATAGTACTGTAAGTATTTGATTTCCCTTCAAGCTTTATTCATAATGCATATCTAGGTGTGGTGGAGCATGTGTTTTGACTTCAGTTCCAAGTTGCTTTCAGATCTAAAAGACTCATTAACAGAAATCACAGAAATCGGCTGTTGATACTCAGTACTACTCTTCATTGTCTCCAAACTGTCTTACTACACGTCTTTAGTTGGGAGTACTGAGACATCGCACCTCCGAACTGTAAACCGGGCCTCTTTTCTGACTTGGTTTCCTCTTTTGTAAACTCCTGTGTCAGACTCGCCTCCCCGTGTGTGTGACCCCTCCCTTGCCCACTGCACGTACCAAAATGATGAGCAGAGTGAGAGAAGCGCCATCCAGTTACAGGGCTAGGAAGCGTTCTGAAGCCTTCGTGTGCTTGCTGCTGTCGGGGTTTGTTCCGCGTTAGGGTTGAGCCTGTCTGGGTAGCAGCTGGCGTTGTTGGGTGACCGTTGGTTGCCCAGCACAGAGAAGGAACAGCGGCAGACCCCGAAAACCGTCTGGGGTGTGGCTCGGTGCGCGCGTGCAAGCTTCTTCGCATGTACCGAAGCCCCGAGCCAGAGGGGAGAAGCGGGACTTGTTGATTTCATTAGTTCAGAAATGCAGTTTATTTTTTATTTTTTTAAATTTTATTTTATTTGCTTTTTGGGTCACACCCAGCGATGCACAGGGGTTACTCCTGGGTCATGCACTCAGGAATTACTCCTGGCTGTGCTCGGCGGACCACATGGGGTGCTGGGAATCGAACCCGGGTCGGGCCGCGTGCACAGCCAACACCCTCCCCGCTGTGCTATCGCTCCAGCCCAATGCAGTTTATTTTTCATGGTTGCTTTTTCCTTCCCGTGCCCCTTCCTTCCCCTGGTGTTACCCACTTATCTTCGCGTTGGTATGGATTGCTCTAGGTCAGTTAGTAGAGGTAAATTTTAGATCGGACTCTGGGTGACTCAGATTCCTTGAAAAAGAGACGTTAATTTCCAGTGTTTAAATCTAAAATATCTAAATTTGGCTTTCAGTTTGTGCAGAGGAGTCAAAGGCATGAAAAGTCATGATTGATTGATTTTCGAACCCGGGATCTCGTAGCATACTGTGCTCTGTTGCTGAGGCACCTCCCTGGTCCCAGGTTACGAGAGTTTAAATGCCAACGGTTCATGGCGATGCCTGGCCAGTATCTGATTTGAATCTCAGGTTTTTTCTTTCCTTAACGTTTTTCAGTTTTGTACTCCCTCTCTTGTATTACCACTCCTGATTACTGGTGTGTGGTAGAGGTGTTTCAGAAGCGTCTGCCTGGATATTTAATGTGTAACCACACCTCCGTTGTTTCAGTCCCCAATGCCCATCAGTCTCCCCCATTCTTCTTTCGCAGAGTGGGGAGGCACACACACCCAGCCGTGCTCAGGGTTGTTCCTGGCTTTGCACGCAGGAGTCGCTCTTGCCGGGGATCCAACCTGGGCAGCCAAGTGCACGGGCTGTCACCTTCTCACCTTCCCGTTTCCTGGCCCTTTTAAAAGACAAAGACAGCTGTAAAGACTTCTTTATGAAGTGATCACCTACGTGCTATTCTAACAGCGTAGACTCTCACTTTATACCTTAAAAAAAGGCTGCGATCTGGGTGTGTTGGGTATAGTATGTTGCCATTTTAAAGATCAGGGTGGTATTCCCATAGTGTGGCTTTTTTTTTTTCCTTTTTGGGTCACACCCAGCCGGTGCTCAGGGGTTACTCCTGGCTCTGCACCCAGGAATCACTCCTGGCGGTGGTTGGGGGACCATATGGGATGCTGGGAATCGAACCCGGGTCTGCTGTGTGCAAGGTAAATGCCCTACCCACTGTGCTATCGCTCCAGCCCCTGTTTTTGTTTCTTTGTGAGAATGATTGTGAGGATTTGAATGGTAAAAATAGCACCATTCTCATTGGAAGGTTAGAGAAAGAATCTTTTATCTCTGTATATACAGTATAATCTCAGTTGAGATTGGCTGGTTAGCCAGTAAAACGGTCTGTAGTGGATTCTCTTTCTGGAGCAAGTGGAGGCATGTGTGACATCCTGGAAAACAAGTTGCTTACTGTTGGCCATGGAAATGAGTCGTGAGCTTTCAGTCACTGCACAAACCATCACTGCCCCTGACTCATATTTTTTCCAGGTGTGAGATCAGGACTCGTGAAGTCTCATGAGTACCATAGAGTGACTTGCAGCATTGTGGTAGCGTAGCCATTTCACAGGGCTCTAGGACTGGCGGATCTCTGTCCCCAGCTTCTCATTCATTGATTTTGGGATAGGAGCTTCCGTGGCATATACATCCAAATGCTTGCTCATAAAATGATAAAGAAAGTGGACCGGTAGCTCAGCAGGTTTGTTTTTAATGCATTGGCGGGGAGGGTGGCACCGTCGGAGTCAGAGGTTGTCCCGAGTAGGCCAGGGGGAAAGAGCGAAGCTGGAAGATGTGGAAGGGAGATGCAGCTTGGGCTGTTGAAATTCAAAACACCCTAAATGGGGATTTTATATTTGAATTCCAGTCAGAACGCGTGAAAATTTACTTAGCTAGAACTCCCAGCTTCCCTCAGAGGCTGTATGGAGGGTTCTCGTCCCGCACCGCCTCCTGCTAGCAAACCCTTTTAGCTCCGCCCAGGGTAGGTATTAGGGTGCTCACTCAGTCTCTGGAGAATAGGTTTTAGGTCGGAGTGGGAGAGGCGGGGGTGGGGGCAATCAGTTGGTCCCTGAGCAGTGACCGGAGTGGTGGGGAGCCGCTGGAGCCGGGCTTTGAGGTAGATCTGACGAGGATCAGGGACGGCTCAGAGGCTGAGGAAGGGTGACTCTGCTGGTTCTGACTCGGCCACTCAGTGAAACATGAAGTTGTCGTTTCCGAGAGGCTGCGGGCTAACGGGCTGGGGAGAGCGGCCCGCCCAGAGCTGGAATTGGGACAGCCTCGTTACGAATCATGCAGTCACAGAAGGCCTTTGACCTACCCTTTCTAAAGTAGCTCAGCACCCCCTTGAGATCCGCCTTCTTTGTTTGAGCAAACAGAAATTTCCCGCAGCGGTGCCCAAGGCGCCTGTTTCGAGGGGTATGAATCAGGCGGGGCCCCTAATGTCCCCTCGGGCGAACTCTAGACTCCAGTACTTTTGTCTGAGCACTGTGTTTGCCAGAGTGAGTTTAGGCTCCCCGAGGCTGTCGGGTATGGTCCCAAACCACAGCAAACCAGCACGGTGTTTGGGTTCAGGAGAGAGCCAGCGTGCAGATACTGACGGTTTCCGGACACCGGGGCCTGAGCGTGTGCTCAAGACAGGACCCTTGGGTCTGACCCTGCCGCTGCAGGCCCCAAGCCCCGAGCCAGGAGAACCCCAACACTACTGTGTGTGGCCCCAGGGCTTGAAGAAAGGGCCAGGGGTTCAGAGGGCGGGCACAGCACCGAGCATTTCCCAGCACTGCTGCGGCAGGAGGGGGCCCGAGCCCTGGGCAGGGCGTCTCCCCGCCTGTGAGAACCTCCGCAGAGAGTGTTTAAAATGAGAAAGAACCAAGGCGTCAGAATCATTTTGATTCTCAGAACTAAGTGTGAAGCGGTTTGGACCTCAGCACTATTTAAGGGGCTAAAGGCCCCTTAGAGCCGAGCACAGAGGGTTCCCCGAGCACGGAAGCAATAGTGAGGGTGTTCTCGCCCGAACAGTGGCAATGCAGACGGTCCGTGGAGATGAAATACATTCCTGGGGTAGAAACTCTGTCCGGATTCAAGAACATAGGCCCCAGTGTCCCAGACGGACGATGGCAGCACGCAGAGAAAGGGCTTGCAGCGGGAGAGGCCTGAGGGCTTTTGGATCTTCTCTGGGTGCAGTGGAGGGATGGGTGTTGGGCCAGCCCTGCTTAGGCCAGGAGCGGGCCGGGTGAGCAGAGTCCCAGCACCCTCTCGGTTCTGAGTCTGCCATGCACTTGGACGGCAGGTCTGGGTTTCCGTGATGAGACCAGCGTTGATAGGGAGTGACTGTGCTGGCACCGGTCCCTAGCAGAGGGAGCCAGGAACCCTGAGGTCTCTTCCAGCCGGGCGCTGTGCTCAGCTTGTCCTTAACTGCAACCGCCTCTCGCACTTCTCCAGAAGAGGTCAGCAGAACCCAGGCAGCGGGCTGCTGGCTGTGCTCGGCCTCTGCACCCCTCCTCTTTGCTACCGTGCAGTGTCTTGGTCAGCGTCTTCAGGCGTGTCTTAGGGTGATCGCTACGACGTCACGAAGTAGGGTAGTTAAGTAAAGACTTTAAACAATGGGTACAGCATGTTTTGATTCCATCAGTTTTTACTTAGTTCTGATGTTTTGAAAAGGACAGATTGTTGGTCTGACATGAACTTGAAGTAAGGGAAACTATTAGAATTTAGGTTATTAAACATGAAACTGCTAAATTCTCTACGGAAGTTTGTAGGAGTTAGGAAATGACATTTTGATCTGTCTTTTTAAGTTTAAGCAAGAACAAACACCAACAAATACTTCACTTAAAACCAGTTAACAAGCAAAAACGCAAGCAAATAACAGATTAATCTTTATTAAATGCTCGGCTATTCTGACATTTTTTTGTAGTTTAAAAATATTATAGCCAGTGTGGATTCTTAGTAGCTATTAAACAGTCAGCATTGCAAACAAAATGAACACTGCCCTCCTGTTCATCTATCGGGCCGGTAACGTCTCCATTGTGAGACTTGTTGTTACTGTGTTTGGCTTATTGAGTACATCACGGGGAGCATTAGCAAAAAAAGTGGGGGGGAAGGGAACCATAGCACAGCGGGTAGGGCGTTTGCCGTGCACGCAGCCGACCTGGGTTCGACCCCCGGCATCCCATATGGTCCCCCAAGCACCGCCAGGAGTAATTCCTGAGTGCAAAGCCAGGACTAACCACTGAGCATCTCCAGGTGTGACCCAAAAAGCCCCCCCCCCCAAAAAAAGAAAAAAAAAGCATTGCCAGCCCGTTAGAAAGATAACACAGGTTTAGTATTTGGCCATGCAGAGCCTGTTCATTCCTTTCCCCCCTTTTCTCTTTCTCTTGTGTGAAACACACCTTCAGAGGTGACACTGAAGTAGAGGAGTCTGAGGGTGATTCTGGTTCAGGGAACGAGCACTTCGAGTGTGTGATAGGTCAAATGTATCAAAACGATGTTTCAGAAACCATCTTTATGATTCCCCCCGTATCATTACTAGGTAATAGCTAAGAGAAAAGAGGATTCTGGAAAGATAAAACTTTTGCTTCATTGGATGCCTGAAGACATGTAAGTATTTGGAATACCGTGTACTTAATTAATAGTCTCGTCGGGAAGGGTTGGTCGCTTTGCTCAGGGCTCCTGGGACTGTGTGTTGTGTCTCCCGCGTCTGTCACAGTCCAGTCCGGCCCCCCCGAGCTGTGTCCCCTGCCCTCTGTCACAGTCTAATGCTGAGATTTGACATTACCGATCGGGTAAACGTGTATCTCTTCCTACTCCTTTGCTTGCTCCTTTCTGGCCACGTTCAGTGCTGGTCTCGGGCTCGCTCCAGACCCTGCACTCAGGAGTCAGCTCCCAGGCACAGCTGTTATGCTAGAGAAGACAAAAAGCATGTGATCGAATCCCTGAATTCAAAGAAATTTAATCCTCCTGGGAAGTTCAGATAAAACCCTTTTTATATTCGGCTTGATCAGTGTCCGTAACATTGACAGTACACGCTTTACTCTGTCGTCTGTTTTCAGTCTTATGGGGCGCTAACACAGAAGTGCTTAGGGATCCCCCCTGGCAGGGTTCAGGGGGTGGGGGGGTCCTCCGGAGCCTGGAGGAGGAAAGGCTGGCACCCCAGCTCTGCCCTTCCCTGCCTGGGGAGCTCAGGAGCCCGGAGGCCCTCCCAAATGCCTCTTACGAGCGTCTCGGGGTGAAGGGAGGGTGCTGTGGCCTGTCCCAGTCAGTCCCCAACTGCCTTTTCTGCCCCCCCTTTTTCAGTTTTCCGTGTCTTTGATTTCTGTCGAGTCAGAAGCAAAAAGATACTTTGTGTGTTCTAATTTGTGTATTTTCTTTTTTTTAAGTCAATATGATTTGCTGCCATAATTTTGTAATTCATTTCTAAATTTGTGCTTGACTGGCTGGGATTTGCCTAGGACCTGTGACGTCCTGGGGTTCAATCCTCAGTGCCTCCGATGGAGAAAAATTTTTTTCCCCATGCTCAAAATCCCCTTTGCTGTTTCTCGGCTGGGACCTCATGTCCTAGTAGACAGAAGTTGCCGCTGGGCCACCTTCGCAGCTGTTCCGGGGAGCTGGTCCGTGTGCACCCAGGGTCGGGCGGGTAGGAAGGGGGACGCTCAGAGCATGCCGAAGTATTGTTGATGATTTGTTTCTTTGATTCGCAGTTTGCCTGATGTGTGGGTGAATGAAAGTGAACGACACCAATTAAAAACGAAAGTAGTTCATTTATCAAAGCTCCCCAAAGATACTGCCTTGCTTTTGGACCCAAACATATACAGGTAATCTCATGCTTGTTGAATTTTAGTCTCCCCAGATTTCATGATGTCCAGTTAAAATTTGTTTTGTATCAAATTCTAATTTGGAACTTGCCAGAGAGATTTATAAATGGACTTCAGAAAGAAGTTTAGATGTTCAGTTTAGTTTCACGTTTATAACTGTTAACTTGGGTTATAATATGTAGTTACTTGGGCGGTGAGGCACCTCCCAAGCTTTAAAAAAAAAGTCTTTTAAGTACAACAAAAATACCTCTCCGACTGGAAGTGCAGTGGCTCCCAGAGGGTTGAGGGTTTCTTGGGTGAGGCAACTGTGGGGAGTGCTCTGGGCAGGTGGGGAGCATCATACACGGGGAGTTCCCACACTTCATAGCGTTGGAAACAGCTGTAAACAAAAGCTGATCTAAAATAGTTTTTTTTTTTTTTTAAATAAAAGGAAACCAGTGCCTTCTGCTTAAGTGCGTTGACCCTGTTGTATAAAACACAGGGCTCTGTGGGCCTGGGGCTGTCTCGCATGTAGACACCCCGAGTGCCCTGAATGGTGCGTTGCTAAACTTGAACTTTTTCCAAACCTCTCACAGAGCAGCTTGAATCATGCTGCTGTATTTTCAGAGCTCACTCAGAGAGTCCACATTCCTGATGATTCTCGCTCTGGCTGGGCTCGAGAGATCCATGCCTAGAAGTTTTAATTGGGGTGGGCGAGGGTGGCCAGAGAGACCCGCTCTCCTGATCAGGGTCCCGGGCCCGTGCAAGACCAGCGTGTGTTCTGAAAGCTGAAAGGTGCTCTGCGAGAAGGGAAGCTCTGCATTTTAAGGTTATTTTTGTTTGTTTTCTGTTTTTTTTTTTTTTTTTTTTTTGCTTTTGGGGTCACACCCGGCTATACACAGGGGTTACTCTTGGCTCTGCACTCAGGAGTTACTCCTGGCGGTGCTCAGGGGGCCATATGGGATGCTGGGAATTGAACCCGGGTCGGCCGCGTGCAAGGCAAACGCCCTACCCGCTGTGCTATCTCTCCAGCCCCAGCTCTGCATCTTAAAGAAAAATCCGTGTGTAATTTCCACACGGAATAGGTTGGATAAGAATATGGTGACAAGTAATTGACAATCCCAAATGAGAATTTCAGCTGTCCACTGTCAAATGTTAAGGTCCTGGTTGTCCCAAAACTTTTTGGAAAGTGTATTGTGGGACATTGCCCTTGAGGGGGTGGGAGGGGGGAGGCGCACCCAGCGATGCTCATCGGGGACCACACGGGATGCCGGGGATTGAACACAGGTCAGCTGCGTAGCGAGCAAGGGCCCTACCTGCTGGACTGTCGCTTCGACCCCTGAGTTGTTCTCAGACCCTAACGGGAGTGGAGTTTCAGCAGACTGCCAGTGGGGGAGCACTTGAGGATCTTCGAGTTTTCCCTTAGCTCCTCGCAAAATGTTTCTTTGAACTTGTCTTTGGTGAAGGTGCTAAATACAGTTTGGGGCGGTGGGTAGAATAAGGTAGTGTCAAAAAATCAGCTGGATGTCGAATAGTGAAGCGACCTTAAAGAAAGCTGAGGGACACCCGCTACCTTAAGTAAGGGGAAGTCAGTTTCCATTTCTCTGCAAAAAACAAAGCCGCAGAGGAGGAGTCCCAAGCCGCGTTGGGAAGCTGGAGACTCGAGCACCGCCCTGCTCTTAGGAACGGCTCTGCTGAGCAGAGAAGGCTCACTTTTTTCCCCCTCTTTTTAAAATTTTTATTAGTGAAACACCGTGAGGTGCAGTTGTAGATTTATCAGTTTTTGTGCTTGGGTTTCAGTTATACAGTGATCAAGTACCCATCCCTCCACCAGTGCCCGTTTTCTACCACCACGGGCCCCAGTATCCCTCCTACCCCCGATCCCCTCCATTCCACTCTGCCTCTGTGGCAGGGCATTTTCTTTTCTCTCTCTGAAGGCTCGCTTTTGAGTCTCTGCCCTGCACCCTTCTCCTTCCTCCCTGCCGGCCTTGCTGATACCTGCTGTGCTCCTCCCGCCCCCTCTCTCTTTAAGGGGGCGGGCAGGCCCCCCTGGCAGTGTTCTGTGGCCCAGCGGTTCCCAGCGGTGCTCTAGGGAGTACTCTGCCCAAGACCGAACCAGGGCCTTGGGGTGCAGAGCACGAGGTCAGCCCTTGCTCCGTTGCTCGGGCCTCGTATTTGCTGTTCTGGAGCTATGAGGGAAGTGGCTTCAATACTTTGGTTAAAATATCTTAATGAAATTTCATTCAGGCTTAGAATCTATGCCCCCAAGTGCATGAAAATTGAAGTGCATGTTCCCAAAGGGTCTTTTTTGGGGGGTGGGGGTGGGCTATGCTTGGGCTTCCTGACACTGCCCAGGGCTCACTTCCGGTGTTCAGGGGACCGTATGTGTTGGGTATTGCACAGTGGCTGGCTGCATGCATGGCATTCTCTTAAACCCGGTCCGGTCTCTCCAGCCGCTCGTCTGAACATTTTTCTCCTCTAAATTTTGATGCCTCTGTTTCTTCACAAATGCAGCCTGTCCTAAAGAGTTGTAGGGTGGGGGCTGGAGCAAATAGCACAGCGGGTAGGTCATTTGCCTTGCACGCAACCAACTCGGGATCGATTCCCAGCATCCCGTAGGGTCCCCAGAGCACCGCCAGGGGCAATTCCTGAGTGCAGAGCCCAGGAGTAATCCCTGTGCATCGTCAGGCGTGACTCAGAAACAAACAAAAGAGTTAAAAAGTAAAAAACCTAACCCACCGTTTTATTATCATGTTAGCAGCGTGTGAGCTTTGGGAAACTATGAAATAAATGGGGGGAGTTATTCTAACTTCATATGCTGTTGTTACCTTGAAGTCATGACATTTCCAAAAATTCAACTTCAGAATGAGACTAAAGAGAACATACTTCCTTAGCATTGCAGTGTAGCACTGTCCTCCTGCTGCTCATCGATTTTCTCGAGTGGGCACTAGTAACATCTCTATTGTGAGACTTGTTACTGTTTTTGGCATATCGAGTACGCCACGGGGAGCTTGTCGGACTCTGCCGTGTGGGTGGGATACTCTTCGGTACTTTGCCGGGCTCTCCGAGAGGGGCAGAGGAATCGAACCCAGGTCGGCCGCATGCAAGGCAAACGCTCTACCGTGCTGTACTATTGCTCCAACCCTAGATAGCATTAGTTTTGAAGAACTTGTTGATTGAGCTGGGTATGTCAGGCACAGACCTTTTCTTTTTTATTGGTTTTGGGGCCGCCCTTGGGTGTTACTCGGGGCTTAGGGCTCTGGCTCTGTGCTCACTCTTGGCGGGGCTTGGGTGGGGACCACCTGAGGTTGGCCATGTTTGAGGCAAGCTCCTTAACCCCCTGTACTATCCCTGTGGCCTCAGAAATGGGGCACCATGGTGTATAGAACCGTAAATGGCTTCTGTTGCCTTTGGACATTTGTTAGTGCTTGAGTTTGTCCCGCATTGAGACCTATCGTTACACAGACACAGAATTTCTTTTTTCTTTCATTTTTTTCCCTTTTTGACTTTGGGTCACACCCTGTGATGCTCAGGGGTTCCTCCTGGCTCTGCACTCCTGGCAGTGCTCTGGGGACCTTATTGATGCTGGCGATCAAACCCGGGGTGGCCGCATTCAAGGCAATGCCCTACCCTGCACTGTCTTCCGCCCCAGGCCCCAGACGTAGAATTTCATGAGAGATGTAGTCAGGGGGAAGGCGGCAACACCGAGGGACGTGTGGGCGCTGGGACATTGGGTTCCCGAAACGCAGCTGAGGTGCCTCCATAATGCATTTTTTAAATGCTAATAAAATAAGAGTAACATTAAAGGAAAGGGGTCCACCAAGAGGCCATGCCGAAAGATTCATCGGAGAGCTCCGTTGTGTGACTCTGTTTGTACCCCCCGAGCCGAATGCTTCAAAATCAATCCTGATGATCACGTTTCCTGTATCTTAGAGTTTTAATGTCTCTTGCTGTGCTCAGTTGAATAAAAGTGCTCCTTTTTCTCTCTTTCTAGAACAATGCCGCAGAAGAGGTTGAAGAGGTAAAAACTAAATAAATACATTCAAAGCAAACAAGCGGGGAACCTGCAGTCTTAGTCACTGACAGTGGGTCTAGTCCAAGCTGCACGTTAGCGCCGACCCTTCCTTTGTCTCAGTGCAGTCTGTAGAGTACTATTTATGCTTAGGGAAACATTCTGTGAATGAAGGAGGCTCTTGTGTGGAATATATTAATATATTACTGTAGATCCACATGTTCACGGCATGGTGCTGTGGGAGACGGAGCAAACACTCTTCTGGCAACTTAGTGGAACAGCCCTGGAAAGGCTTTGCATGCTCGCTGCTTCCCCGTAGTCCTTGCAGTCTCTGAAATCGGAAAGGAAACCGCTCCGACCCGCGCCCGTAAGACCCCAGAGCACTGGGAGGCGCCTGGTCGTGACCGTGTCTGGTAGGGGCTACTTAGACAGTGACGAATATCACGAGGTAGTGTCCCTTTCGATTATGATAAATAGATGTGATTGGTTGCCATTTGTGTTCTTTTGCAGAACTCTGATAAGAAAAGTGTTCAATTTGTATTTAAGCAAACAGTGAACGGCATTTGCAATCAACTAAAAATCCGTCTCTCGAATTAGGGCTGAGCATTTCTGTTAAAGAGTGTTGCAGCTCGCCTGGTGCTCCTTGGCAGGACTAGGCTTTCTCATGGAGTACAGTATGTTAATATTGACCTAGAGAACTCACTTGGTAACGGTTTTTGAAAAACCTATTTCAAATCATTTGAATAATCCTCCTGTTTTCTTTTTTATCCTCTATAAGACTCTAATTTTTTTTTTTCCTGAGGAAAGCGTTTGGTTTTTGAGTTATTTTTTTCTTAATGTAAGAAAAGTTGTATTTTTTTTTTAAGTATCTTCAAACTGAATCCTTTATGCACCAAAGTTGGTTTTGAAAGGAAAAATAAAATCACTTTCTTGCTTGGTAAGCAAGGAGCCATATGGATTTTTTTTAACTTACAGAAATGGAAATATGTGTAACTTGTTAGTATTGTATCAAACAAATGTTGCATAGAGATAATAGAACATTGCTTGTAAATAATTCAGCAGATTTGTAATATATTTTTATATTATGAAATGTACTGTAGATGTTTTTCTAGAGGCATGAAAGTTAAATGTATATATTATGGGTAGAAATAATATTGAAGGATATTGTAATTCACTAGTGCTGCCAGAGGAATTGTTAATAAAGCACCTTCTTAACAATAAATGTCTTTTGCAGACTTAAGGGACTATGTACTACTGTTAATATCTGTAAGAACAAAACACATTGAACATCCTTCCAGAAAGTCTTTTAGGGGAGGACCTATACCCATAATAGAATTATGGCACTCATTTCTGACAGTAACCGTGAAATGATTTCCTTACTGTTGGAAGTACATATTGTAAAGTATGTGGTTATTTGCAGTCAAACTGCAGAAAATACTCCTGATTGAGGAGTTTTCACTTTACTACAGTGATAGAAAACCAGCAGTTTTTACACTAAATTTTTTAAGAAAATAATAGACAAAAATTAGAGAAATTTAGCCTTTGGTTCCAAAATGGGAGAGGTTCCATGATGCATAACCATTTGTCATTTACTTTGAAAAAAAATTATGGGAGACTTTTTATTCATTGACAATGGGGGTGAAGAGCTATATACATTAAATGAGTCATATAAAACTAAACGAAGTGCCAATAGGAGCACAGCTACTATAAGACGTTCTGGAATGGTTGTTTAATAAGGGTATTATTCAGATGATCTGTAGCAAATGTGACTTTATTTTTTAAAAAAAGGTGTGTTTTCTTACCCGTTTTTGGTTTTCTTTTGCTTAAGCACTTCATCATTGCTTTATTCTGTATCTTCGAAGTAATCTGCAATCTCTTTTGTTCTTTACATTTTTTGATTTGTTATAAACTTGCCAAATAGAGGTGTTTCGGAGACATAGTTTGTACCTGTATTTTTTTTTGTTGCCTCATGTTCTTGTAAGTCATTCTTAATTGACCGATGATTGTAGACCTTGCCTGAGTATTTTTTCTAATAAAACAAAAGCAAATCACACTTAGCTTCAAAATTGTAACAGTTCAATTATGTTTTCTTAGGAGCACAGGGATGACGTGATTTTAATTGTGTAAAAATACTCAGTTACCGAGACCAAGTTTTCATGGTTGTAGAACAAAATTCTGAACACTCAGCCACTTGTCCTTGCCAGCATATCTGACTTGGATCTGTTCTTCTCGTAAAGAATACCGAAAAGAATACGAAACGAGATAGCTTCGGAATTGACCTAGATTGCGTGCCCACGCGCATTCTATGACTGGGGGAGAGTTGACTTGGTGGCATGGGCAGGTCCCCAAGGCTCTGAGACTCTGGGCTCCCTGCTGGCGAGGCGCACAGGCACCGAGCCGCACTGCCCTCCAGCCCCTCAGGAACGCTGTCCGAGTCGAGTCCTCTTTCGGGGCGTCTGTCCGTCACTGTTGCTCTGTCCCTGATTGGGCACCGAGACAGTCTGCTGCCTCCTTCGAGTCTCCAGCCGGGGTTTGCAGCCGGAGGGAGGCCCATCCCTTCCCTCCTGCCTGAAACGTTTACTGTCTTGACCTTTGAAGGGAGATGGGCCGTTCTTTGGCTGATTCACAAAATTGGGGGGAAACAAACTTTAGACCACACAGATTGTATTTTAATACAATATTATTGGTTTTGGTAATAAGCCAGTACATTAAATTGCAGTGAACAGCGATTTTATACACTTGACAGTAAATATTGCCGTATTAGGTATCTACAGTAAATGGTGTTGTATTTTTTTTCCTCCAAACTCTTACACTGAGTTTCTTAACAGTTACTGACATTTTACCATTTATGTTTTGTATTTTGTTTTGCTAACTAGGATGAAATGAGATTTTGTAAATCAGATCATGTTTAAACCATCAGGCACAGATGCTGTATCTAAATCTTGGAAGTAGAAAATAGTGTAGAATTTAAAGTTGTTTATTTTTCTAATAAACATATAAATCTTCCTAAAGTAGATAACGCGTTACTTTTGAATTTCAGATGAAAGGAGATGGCGAGGAGATGGATGATAGCTGGTCTCTCAGTGCCTTTAATTTGTTCTGCTCTCACTAAAAGCATTGATAATCATGTCGGTAAACCCGTGGCTGTAAACTGTCCCTTACACACTTTAATAAACAATATTTTAAGTATGGAAGTTCTTCTAAAAGGTTAGAATTTGTTACCATTCTGTATAAACATCTTTGTTTACGATTTATTTTTCTAATAATTGATTAATGAAAGTGTTGAAAGTTTGAATGAATTATAACAACAGGGGCGTATATTGAAGTAGTAAGAATAGCTGTTGGATGGAAGATTGCCACGTAGTTAGAGCTTTTCAAAGTTTCCTTTGGGGTGGGCGAAGTGAGCCCCCCGCCCCTGGGCACTGCTCCTCCTGCTCTCTGGTGGTCTGTAACAGGGCAGCATTGAATCCACATGGACTCTGTGGCAGACAACTGCCTTTCCTGCTGTACTAGCTCCCTGGTCCGGTTAGAACTTTATTAAAAAGTTTTAAAATTACTTTTGCATAAGTACTCCATAAAAGGGTGAGCAGATTTTTAGGTAGCTTGTCCGCACGAAAAGTCTGTAGATGCTGATACACAGACTAGTTATAGATCACCTTGTGAATGTTTTGGGATTTGTGGGGAGTGATGCTACATATATTGGGGGTGACTTCATTGAGAACTTTTATATTGATCTGCAGGAGATGTGTGTGTGTGTGTGTGTGTGTGTGTGTGTGTGTGAGAGAGAGAGAGAGAGAGAGAGAGAGAGAGTGCGTGTGTGCGAGCATGCATGCACGCCACACCTGGCAGTGCTCAGGGGCTTACTCCTAGCTCTGTGCTCAGGGGTCACTCCTGGTGGGATGCTGGGAATTGAACCTGGGTTGGCCACATGGAAAGCAAAAGTCCTACCTGCTATACTATTGCTCCAGCCAGGATTCAGCCAATTAATTTTTGGTTCTTTGTGTCACACCCACAGGTGCTTGGGTTATTCCTGACTCTGCACTCAGGAGCTACTCCTGGCGGTGCTTGGGGGACCAATGGGATGCTGGGGATTGAACCTGGGCAGCCGTGTACAAAGCAGTCCCCCCCCCCCCGTACTATTGTTCCAGCCCCTAAAAATTTCAGTATGTGAAGTGTCGGGAAATATTTTGCAGTTCCAACACTATAAACTTTTATAAAAATAATCTTCAACTTTTTAGACTGGTGTTGCTTTTTAAAAATTGTGTTTTTGATTATTTCTAATAGTAACTACGTAATGTAAATACATAATGAACTTTATTATTTTTTTAAAGAACTTAAACACTACTCAGTTTGTATGTTTCTAGTGAACTTACAAGTGGGTTTCAGGAATTTCAGACTCCATCTTGGTCAGTGTTCTTGCTTAATGCGTGTTTCATAGTGAGAGCTCAAATGTGCATACGTTATCATGCCACTATAAAATTGCTTTCAGTGTTTTTACCTTAGCACAACCCAGGGTGCAGGTTACCCTGGGCAGTGTTTGATGGATGCGTGAGAGGCCTTTGAAGAGCAGAGTGTCCCTGACTTAGTTTCTGTAACAACTTTTCACATGATCTATATAGTGAATCATACTGATGCTCATCTGAACATTCTCACTGTAAAGGATTATTCATGCCAGTTTTACACTCAGTTGTAATCATTTCTAATCATTGAAATAATTCTGTCGTGTTATCGTAGAGCCAAATTATTTATTTTTTAACAAGACCTCAGCCACAGTTAGAATGAGTATCTTCTCTCATTTTGGTGGGGATTTTGGAGACGGGTTCAAACCTAGGACCTTAGCACAACTGAGGCATAAGTGAGCCCCAGTAGTGAGGGACATTTTTAGTGACAGGATTTTGAAGGAATTAGTCAGTACTTTGATTTCTTTCGTGTTAAGTTTCGGTTCCAGAGAATCATCTTCCAAGGACCCTTTTTCCTCTTCAATACTTTTGTGCAAGCAAAGTTTACATGTTGCCCACCGATTCCTATTAAAGTTGCACCAGATTCATTTGCATTTGGTTGCTTCCTCAGTATCTTAGATGGTTGGGGTTGGGGGTGGCTTTTCCCTTTAGAAATGCCCACTCTGATGAGGGGAGGGCAGTAGCCAGGGGAGACAAGTGCCCTTCTACAGAGGTGTGTGTGTCCCCCCCACCCCCCCATTTCTTAAGCACAATGACTGGACCAGAGGAGCTGATAGTTTAAAAACAAGAAGTCTGGGCCGAGGGCTAGTCAGGTGACTGGAGCGTGTGCTTTTTGTTCCATCGACACTTGAAAGTCTACACACCACTGGGAGTGACCCTCAGAGCCACAAAGTGTTGTCACACCCCACCTCTGTACTAAAGCCACTTTCAACTTTGGCTGTTCACCTTTTTGCAGATCTCTTTGAGGGAGCTGGGCTGGGTTATATTCGACTATATGTGGTGCCAGGAATGAAATGAGGCCAGCCATAGACCAGGCAAGCGCCCCAACTCCTGTACTTTGTCCCCCAATCCCCAGCTTGCTTTAGTGGGTCCTTTCGTTATGAAAAATATCCCTGTACACCTGGTTCTGGGACTGGGACTGCTCAGGACACCCTTAGAGGGATTGTAATGGCCCTATTCTGGTGATGTGTCGTGAGTCATTCAAGCATTCCATGTTGGGTGATAATAGGGTGTGGACAGATTTCCCATCTAGTATCCTTAAAAAAATTTTTTTTCATTGAATATAAGTGAGACAGACCAATACAGAGCTGTTGATTGGGTTTTAGTCACACAATGATCTAACACCCGTCACTCCACCAGTGGCTACTTACCTTCACCAATATTCCCGGTCTCCCTCCCACCATCTCCCAACACTTGCGCCCCCCCACCCACCCACCTCCCAGCCTGCCTGTTTGGCAGGTACTCTCGCCAGCCCGGCCAAGCCGGTTTCGATTCCTCTGCCCCTTTCGAAGAGCCCAGCAAGCTACCAAGAGTATCTCGCCCGCATGGCAATGCCTGGCAAGCTACCCGTGACGTGTTGGATATGTCAAGCACAGTAACAACAAGTCTCACAATGGAGACATTACTGGGCCCGCTCGAGCAAATCAATGAACACCGGGAGAACAGTGTGTGTGTTTTGACAGTGTTCAGCCTTGTGAGAGTTCGAGATTAACTGCATCTTTGACCTCTTGAGATTTACTTACGGGTCTTTACTTACTTGAGATTTACTTACGGGTAAGGCCATAAGTGAGCTTGTGTAGCTGAGCCGGAGGTGGTTAGTGGGTGTGGCTCCCACATACCTAAATGTTGGCCATTTAGTCTCGGGAAACGTGATCCCAAGTTGTGTGTTCCAGCCAGAGACAGCGGCAGTTTTGGGGTATCAATGAACTTGAAAGCACCACCAGGCTGCTGATGCTCCCGCCCCGGGGGGGGGGGGGTCCGGGGTGACCTGCCGGCTCCGGCGGCGTGGCACCTTTTGAGCAGCATTCTTGAGAGGTTGCTTGGCAAGATTTCTCTCCTGTGGTTTCCTGAAAACGACTGATGTACAGAGTTTGTAAGTTGTGTCTGTTCAGAGGTTTCGTTGGAAGAGATCATCTTGTTAGGGTGGCTCAGCATAAACGCACGTGCCTTTCCCCCTTCTCAGAAATATGTAAAGGTTGCGGATATTTTAATTCATAAAAGGTGTCCAAAGAGGTTAATAATTATATATATATTTTTAAGTTTTAAATTCTCAATTCTAGTGAAAAATATCTTCTAGGGTAAGAAAGTTATGTTCAAGCTCTGTGGCTACTTTATCACTGGTAAAGCTGATCTATTGTTAACCTAGAAAAACTTGAGTTTAGGGGCCAGAGTGATAGTACAGAGGAGGGTAGGGTGCTTGCCTTGCATGTGGCCAACCTGGATGTGGTCCTCAGTACCCCATATGGTCCCTCGAGC